GCTTCAGAAAGGCATCCGTGCCCACCTCTTTCCTCAATCAGGTGACAGCTCTCGATCCTGAGAGCTTTCTGAGTTCCCCGGTTTCGTGGGGCTGAGGCCATAGCTCTCTGTAGAGCAGCTTCTGACACAGGGATAAGGGGAGGTGCCTGACATGGGTAGGCATTTACCCGAGTGAGAAACGGATGTCCTGACCCAGGAGTTATTCATGTCTTTTTAAAATGCCATGTGTGAAGCTTTTATCTCTCCTCAACAGAGCGGGACAGCAAGCTCCCCAAACCTGTACCCCGTCTCCCTTTGCGGCAGCCTGGCAGGCGCGCACCGCCGGGGCGTCCAGCCTCGCAGGTAGTTGGCATCCGGGAAGCGCCACAATTTGCACTATTCACAAACCGCAGGGTACTATTCTGTTTCCAGGCTCCTAATCCCTCTTATACACAATCCCTTACAACTTTAACTGGCGGGGTGGAGGAGCAAGTTAAAAAGGAAGGAAAAAGGAAAATGAAACACAATGTACAGCCAGGCAGTGGCTGCCAGTTACTGCACACACAATCCGCACCAGCTGCAGCCCAATTAAACCCGACATTCACAGGTGTTCCCAACAGACTCGGCACTAACAAAACCACTTTCTTGAAAATACCTAAGGCTTTAACACAGAAGCTCATTTCTTCCCCCCCCCCCCCTTTTTTTTTTTAAAAAAAGATTCTTTAAAGCTATTTAGAGCACTTTAAATACAAAGAAGCTGAAAAGGACTTTCAGTCCACTGGAAAGAGCTGGTGCTTAATGCCAGAATGGGGGAGAATCGGCCAAGCTGAATCAGGCAGTGTAACCATTGGTTTCGGGAGAAAGATGGGTTATGCTGAATGCTGTTTGTTCAGGGAACAGTCACTGGCACTGGGCACTTTATTGTTGCTGGGAGTGAAATGGGGAGGGAGGGAACGACTAGGTGTAAATCCGTTTCTTTTTGGGCTGGGACTCATCATTGTTTGCCCCATTGCTGTGAGCTTGTGTGTGGCTTTGCTTATTACTGATCAGTGTGTGTGTGGTTCACACAGCAGGTTTTAGTTCTCCTTTCCTCCCAGGATAACTTGATACAGTTGCCTCTTTGACTTTGAAGTAGGATTCTAAATTAGCTATTTATTTTCTGATCTTAAAGCACTCATTCAGATGTTAAATCAATCCTTTAAAAAAATGATGATCTGTTTTTAATACATGAATTCAAAATTATTTCCATGCTAAGAGGGGACTGCAGATAGCAGACTAATGCATAGGTCAGTAATTTGCTCTCATTCCATTGAAAATTAGAATTGTGTTTGTTAAACTTTTATTTATAATGATACTAATAATCAAAGTAGGGTATATTCTGGTGCTCGTAGATTCAATAGTACTCAGCCACACCTGGCTGGCTATTCATTTCTCCAATAACACCCCACACCTCAGTAGTTATTGCTTAATTACCTGGTGCCTATTCTGTTGCTGTTTAATCACTGTTGTTTCTGACAATCACTTAATGTCTTCATTACTGCTTTCACAGTCAATGCTGAAAGCCACTCTATATTCAGTTGCAGTCAAGAATATCTATTTTGTCCTTCAATACATCGAGCTGCAATTTTGCCTTTGGAACAGGACTAGGACATTATCCCTATTCCTCACAACACACAGAGACCCAAAAGACTGCACTTTTTTTTTTGGTCTTTTTTTACACTGAAAATGTAAAAATGGTGATCCCTTGGATTTGTATTTGAAAATAATTAAGAATTGTCTTAAAACTGGCAGATAGGTAATACTGGTTCGCAGCATTCATTTATAAAGGCAGGCAGAGGCTATTCATGCTGATCAATGCAATAGAGAGAAAAGAAAATCACCCAGGCTTCAAATTCACAAGTATACTACCTAAATTAGATATTGTCACTCCGGAAAGATACTGGAGTCAGTGTGGATAATTTTCTGAGAAAAGCCATCTTGGCGCTAATATGGTGGCAAATAAAATAATAGGAAAGGAACTGCAGGCAACCCAGAAACACTGCTATGCCGTGGCACGGCTCCGTCCAGCCCTGCACGGCTTCAGCTGCTCAGCAGCAAGAGGATCGAGCAGAACCAGCGAAGACGACGTGGCAGACGGGCTGAAGGATGGCAAGTTCTGTGGGAGCATGGTCTGAATCACTGAGGACTCTTCTGCTTGCAAAGACTTGACTGAGAGGGGATGAGAGAAAACTTTGTAAAATCATCGACGATACGAGGAAGGTGAATGGGGAACGACAGATGAATCACCGTTCTCATAACACAGGAACTCGGAGGCACTTGCTGAAATTACCAGGTTTAAGACAAACAGAAGCGCTTTTCTATATGATGCATGATTAGACCCTGGCACTCATTACAGGATGATGTTGTGGAGGCCAAAAGGAGAAGTGATTTAAGAAAGTAATTGGACAAATTCATTGAGGATAGGTCTGTTGCAGGCTTTTAAAACTGATGATCTAGATGCAGCCCCTGGTTTTTGAGTGCCGCTAAACCTGGGAAGGATCTGTACCTTGCTGCAAAGCCGCTGGTTTTCTTCCTTTGTTGTTGATTAGCCCCTTCTGCTACCTTCCCTCTTTGCCTCACTTGACCCAATCTATGGTGTTTTTTTAATCTAGGCAGAAATGACATTTAAAAACTCTTCAGTTGCTTGACCTAGTAAGAAGTGTCCTAACTTGACTGCAACAAGAAATATCTATGAAAAACCAGTAGACCTTAGGCCAATAACGCAGCAGGTTTCACCAGATGAATTCACTCTCATTTCACTGTGGCTATATTACTACTTGTGTTTGCTTTCCATGAGCGATTTAGCTTTACTAGCTAGTGAGAATGCTTGTGAGGATTTTTTTTTTTAAAGTTTGCATACTTGAACGAAGAAAAACAACCAAACTTGCCTTGTCGAATCTCTCACCCTGGAAACCTGATACTCTGGGTTAGCCAAGGAATGGAAACAACGCCACGTGACTTCTGGGACCAGACGCGAGGGCCCAAATTTTAAACGCTGTGCCATAATGCCTGCTGTTTATTACTCAATAATATATAAAATATTTAGTCCACAAAAGTTCTGAGTGCAGACAGGAAAAGAGAGGACGATAATTCATGCCTTAAAATTCTTTCCTTTTCCCTTAAAAGCAGATGAAGTGCTCCAGGGAAACAAAAAAGAAAAATCAGTTTTCTGGTGCTTCCTCCTGTCTAGTAATTTTCAGTTATCACAGAACTTATAGGCCAGTCTTTAAGAATAAAATGAAAACGAAATAATCCTTTGGAGGTTAATCATTGTCGCTGTCATCAATACTCTTGGTAAAGCGTAGAGAAAACGTAAAAGCATTATCAGAAGTATCAGCTTATGGGCAAATTCCTCCTAAGTGTATCGGTGTACAAATGAAACGATGAAATAAGACTGGCAGGGGTGTTCTTTCTTTTTTGGATCTGTCAACTTGACAGTCTTTCCTTCAGCTTCTCCTTCGGTAAAACATATCAGCTCTTAACAAGTGAACGTCTTCTGCTCTAGTGACACCCTCCTTCATAATTTTGATGCTGTAGATCGGCAGTGGTCTCTGTGAGGGGAACAGGAAGGTCAAAACCTGCTGTACTGCATTTTGGGTTTTTTCATAATGCCTGTGAAAACCCCCAGAAGGTCTCTTCCTCTTCATTTTGTGGAAAAGTTGCCCTTAGTGCAGTATTTATCAAGGGGACATGGACCTCTCCTTCAAAGACCGACACAGGTTTAGAGTCCAGGGTGCTTGTGATCTGTGTTTCCATCAACGGTCTTCTCCCTTTTGAAAGATTTCTAAGTTTGGCATCAGGCAGGGATGGGGGTTTGATCTGGGTTGGGGTTTTTTCTTTTTCTTTAAGCAGCTTTATATTTGTGTTAAGGATAGGGAAATAGTCATACTGTCTACTTAGAGAAGAACCTGAACAGAAAGACCAAGATCCCTCCATTAACTTTCTAGAGGATATATTACTTACCTCTGCAAGAAGCTGGTACACTAATTCTCAGCTGTGCTTCCACGTTTAACTGTCTCTGAAGTCCTGAAGAGCATTAAAATGCGTAACAGCAATGTTTAGCTTCACTGCTCATTAGAGCCGCACAGAACTAATAGTAATATTGTTGTAACTTGACAAAGCCATCTAAATCCATGCATGTTTTCTTGTGAAAGCTTCCTAAACATGCTGCTAAATCCTCTAAAAAAGCTACTAAACGGCTTTGGCAACCATTAGCACAGCATAAGCGGGGGAACTCTTTTCAGTAAGTGAACAAACAGAGAAAATATGCTGAATAGCTGGACAAATGTGTTTCAGCTGGCTCTTTCATTTACAGATATAAGGGAGCAGTCAATATCAATCACTGTTTTCCCTGTTGCACTGGAAAATCACAATATCTCTTTTCATTCCGCAAGCTCTTTTCACCACAGTAATGTGTCTTTAGAGTGACACTGGCATCAGTCTGTTTCCGCTGTCTGAAGTCCAGAGAGCTTAAAAACACATTGCAGGGTATGAGACCTTAACCCTCCTCCCCTTCCACACACCCCTCTCCTTCTAGCCTTCCTTTCTGAATTAATTGTTTTTACTTCTTTCCCAGCGTAAAGCTGAGAAAGAAAAGTGCCCACAGAGCCTGGGAATATCTGCTCTTGCGCTTTGGGGACAGAAAAATGTATCACTGGTTGTTGGGGTTTTAATTTATCGGGTGTTGCAAGGAGTTTAACACAAGGTAATATGATTATCAAGTTAATTTGCAACATACTGTAATATGAAATGTAATGTTACTGTGGTTTGAATTTTGAGCTATATCCTGTTCCTTGGATGTCCTAATCACCCACAACCTCATTTATTAAAAAAAAAAAAAAAAAAGAGAAACTCTGTCCTTGTGAGTATCTGGCATTTGGAGTATGTTGATATTCTTATGTTTGCTTTCTTCCTTTCAAGTAACATATTGTATAATAATAATCCTATGTGGTTTGTGGGTTTTTTTTATCGTTTCTTTGCAGATAACAGCAGTCTGTAGAGAAGCAGCCCTTCTAGCTCTTCAGGAAGACATACATGCCAAATCTATCATGGGACGGCACTTTCGGTACGCACTGACTGTCGTGACTCCAAGGATTCCCGAGTCGTTAATCCAGTTTTATGCAGATTATCAGCAGCAAAGTGGACTGCATGCGCTTTGACAAGGAAATTAATACATACCCCCATTCATGGTGTGAATAAGCAAATTTCCTTTGTAAAGCTGTCAAAAGCCAAAGAATTTTGTATTGTGAGTGGAGTGTCCAAAGTTAACTGAAGTGCAGAATTGTCGTAATAAATGCCCGTGTGGAAGATTTGAGTGTAACAGATATTGTCCAAAACTTTGTATTTTACAGTTTCAGTGGTACAATCTGCATTTCAGAAGTAGTAAGATTGCTGGTTTAAGTCAGTTAATCGGAGTGTATATCCATGTATCAAAGAATTATTATCAAATTCTGAATTTTTGGTAGATTCTTGGCCCTAAAGAGAGTAGCAGCAAGTCTCATTACTATCTGTATTTGTTCCTGCCTCAACCACAGTTTAATCCCAGGGACCATCCCAGTGAGGCACAGACCTGGGGAGTGGCCTCACTACAAAAAATGCTGAAAATTATTCTGCATCTTTTGATTTATGAGCTCCAGAAAAGCTGCCAAACAGGCTTGCCGAACATAGAGCTTTCTGAGATAAAGCTAAGGTATCCTGATTGATTACAGCAAAACGTTTCTCTTTGGTCTTAAACAACTCCTTTTTACACATACTGGGAAGTAGGCACCTTAAAAATTGTACAACCCTTGGCTAACCTGAAACCACTGCCAGGCGTCAGCGGAAGATTTTTGTTGTTGTGTGTTTGTTTCCATCAAAATAAACAGGAATGTTGATTGGTAATTTAAAGCTAGCCACTTAAAATCCTAATGAATCCTAATTAATTAATAAGAAAACCTCTGTGCAAAAACTGTTATAAATGACCACAAAATAGTTCAGGGACAGATAAAATCTTTTCAGCTTATTTCTTTGTTATATCATCTGTTGGAACGACAACAGGTCCTTATGGGCTCTCTGCTCTTGCAGTCGGTATGAAACACAGTCAAGCAAACTAATTTTCAGCTTTTTTCCCCACAATAGAGAGACTGAGTTTTTCTATTCCGGACGTGAAAAATAAAGGGTAAGGTAAAACGAAACCAATACAAACTGTAACGAAAAAAAAGAAGGGGACTAAAACCTGAATTTCAGTAGGTAATTCTGTGGTTTCCTAGTGTGTTGCAGGTAAGTAGAAGAATTTACAGGTCAAAATTTCAGCCAAATCCTGCTTTTACTTGTTGGAGTAAACATCATTTCAGGCTTTATGTAAGGTTATTTTTTGGATTTGTTTATTGATGGTTCTGAAGACTTTTCTTTCTTGCAATAATTATATATGTATTTATGACAGAGTAATAATTATTTAGAAATTTATATCATTTTATGAGAAATTTGTGTATGTCTGTCTAAGAGAGATTTCTACTATATTTACTTATATTATCAATGTGAAATTTTTAAGGTAATCTCTTGGCCTTGACTATGGTTTTTCTCTCTGTACTTAATTGCACTCTGTACATAATTTGTAGCTTTTAAACAGAAATCTACTACTTTTAAATTACAACTTTTCTATTTCTTTTATTCTAACCTCTTGTTGCTATAATTAGCATTTAATTTTACTATCACTGAAAAGGATTAGAGGATGAGGAAAAGCAGGTCGTTTACTTGGTTATCTGACGTATGTGCAGGTTTTTTCTTTTTTTCATTGTTTGACTCTTTAATAGTACAACAGACAGAGGGAATTAAGAAAATTATAAACTGGAAAAGTTGCCTTGGGGATCAAGACTGCGTTTGAAACTACTTTGTTTTTCTTTTCTAAATTCTGTGTACTCCAACTTGAAGCTCAGGATGCAAACCGTTTATCATAACCGTTACATTTTTGATGTTTCCGAAAATTAAATGCCATACTGTTATCCCCTGGTACTTCCCTCCAGTGTGTGTTCCTGAAGGGAGGAAAGAGAGATCGTAGTTTTTCCTGCCAATAGCAGATTCTGTTTGTAATTCTGTATCCTAAAAATAACGCTACGTGATGCCCCAGATGAGTAGCCATTCCTTGGGAAGTGGTCAGATCCCATGGGAACGTGCACCAAGGCATGAATCTGACCTGAGAAACTAAGAGATGCAGGTAGGAGCTGGCTGTCCTTTCCATACATGGACTCCTGTTGCCATCAGAGCAAATTTTGCACATTGAATTTTAGGACATGAGGAGCCCATGACTGCTGTTTGTGCCTTGGGAGAAAACCTATCCCAGCAAACATTTATTCTCTCATCCGCATGGTACTACGTTTATCCACATAGTACCAAATCTTTTGTTACATACCTACATGCCTGAAGTGATTTGAAATGTAGGAAGCTCCCCTTTTATCATTGGGTTTGTGGAACTTGATTTCTTAAAAAGAAACATGCTCTTAAAAAATTAAGTTATGGCCAATTTGTGAAGTCTCTAGAAGGTTTATGTTTGCTCCCAAATACTCTGCTTGGAAAATTTGGCTAGTCTGATGCCACTCAAAATTTTATTCCATCCCAAGCCACAGATAAATTGAGATTTAAAGAAAGGTATGATGATTCCCCATCTTGTTCCTAATGACAAATCTCTGTTATCGTGGACTAGCAACTTGAAACCCTCGTATCAGAATTCTGGAAAATAACCAAAATTTCAGTTCTGGTCAAAGCACATCAGCAACGTAGTCCTTTCATAATCCCGTCCAGTTAGTGCTTTTGCACCCTCAGCCTCTCACTGGAACTTACTGATGAGGGCCCTGTAGGACAGAGCACTTCAAACATATCTTCTGTAACCTGTCATTTAAATGTGTGGGGTTTAATTCAGAGCTGAACTTTTCACAGCGTGTTTTACTGAACACATTGTGCCTTGGCACCAAATCAAATTGCTTGCAGTGTGAGGCCATATAAGCCTGAACACCTCTACACTTCAGAGTAAATCAAAGATAGAGGCGTTCTTTCTTCTGCTGGGTTAATCACGTTTATTGTTGTTTGGATGTTTCCGTGAGATTTAATTTTAATAAAGTGATAGAGGCTCAGTGAACAGAAGAGAAGGCATCTGAGAAGAACATCTCTCTCCCATCCTCTCTAGGAACCACTTCAGCAGCTACAGACTTACTTCTTTACATCCTTTAGAAATGCAGCCTTTTTCCTGCCTGCCATTATCTTTTGGAGCCAGTTTTTGGCCCAAATACTGCTTGAGTTGCAGAATTGTTAACATTAAATCAGCTTTTCAGTGTTTCAGGCACATTTTGTTTAAATACAAAGTCGAACTTTTTCCTCCAATAACAACGTCTTGCAAAATGGCATAAAATGTCTTTTGACAGGTTTGCCAAAAATGACCAGGAGAATATTTATGATCAAAATGCAAAAATGCCTTCACTTACCTTGAAAAAACGTTCAGTCCTGTGTTCTCCCTAATGCATAAAACAGATTTCCACTGCAAGTACAATATACAATTCTTAATCCTGGAAAAAGAATTAAGTTTATTGTGCACAATTTTCCTACGGTCTCTAAATGAGAACAGAACATAAGGTTCACTGGGTTCAGATGCGAGGCTGAACATCGGGGACAGAATAAAGATAATTTTCAAAGATAGTTGTTCAAAATCATTGAACTTAGACTTGTCAGCCCTTTCAAATACTGTGTCCTTAAAGCTGATTTTTCTGGTTTGTCTGTGCCGGCTCTTTCCTTTTAGTTTCTTTACTGGTTTTAAATGTCAAAGTGTGGTTCTTCCTGCAGAAACTGGGCACGTGCCAAACATAATGCTCCTGTAAGTGAGCATCAGTCGATCGGTGCTGTGGGAAGGCTGGCTGTGGATGGTGTTACCTGGTGAAGAAGGCATCGAACTCTGTGCTGATGGGGTAAAGCGAAAGCTGAACTGTAAAGCCTGGTGTTTTGCCGTGTACTGCCCAGTAAGCTGAAGTTAACTGGTGGACACAAGTTGATGGGCAGAACTCTCTCTCCTTATGGCAACAGGGAAGTATCAGGGCTGTGGAGGAGACTGACCCTTAAGGCTTTTGGTTGTTTCTGGCTCTCACGGAGAAAGCAGTTGATTGGGTTGGTGAAACAGTATCACCGATACTAGAAAAGCAAATGTCCAGTGGTTGTGGTAACTCAGTATCTAGTGCGAGCTAGGAGAGAACTTGGAAGGAATTGTACTTGGAAGATGAAGAGTCATGGGTGTACCTGGAAGGCAGGGACCCACTGTCAAAACCTTGGCAAAAGCCCCTGAAAGAATTAGGAAAAAGCAGGCATGAAGAACTTGCCTTGCTTCCTGTGATCGCAAAGTTGGGACAACACTGAACGTGCTTCCTTCACACTTCCATGCCTTGGGATTACTCCCGTGGAAATGCCGTCAGGGGCGTGGGAAGGGACTTGCAGTGGGAGCTGGGTACAAACTGACCTGCGCCTTGACCTGCTCGTGACATATGTGATGGGGAGATCCCATCACGTATGTGATGGGGAGATCTGCTGCTTGGCCACCACTGGCAAAGCCAGCACGTAAGGAGAGACAGGGTGGAGGAGGGTGGGTAATCAGCGCATTTCAGCCCCTCCAAAGTGACATATCAGTCACTGGACACACGAGCAGGATGTCTGATGTAAAGCTTTCTGCAGCTGCTCCAAAGCCTACTTTGAGGTCGTGGTCAATGTGGAGCTAACCCGTAACAGAAATGTCTTTGGAAAATTGGGTTTACCTTGTAAGCCTTTTATATTTGTATTTAAGGTGGTTGTTACGATTGTAGTGAATTGCAATAATTTTTATCTACTATGAACCTCAACATCTTTTGCTTTTGCTGATGCTTTTTTTTTCCCTTTGGCATGAAAGAAAATACTGTAGGTGATCTCATGTGTGCCACTTAATAAAGAGCTTTTCCTCGGGAGTAGGTGCCAGAGGCATGCAGAATCACAATTGTAGTTGGGCATGTTTTGAATGGCAGGTTAACATCTGGAAGACAAATATTTCAGCTGCAACCTACTCCTAATCTTGGGGTTTGTGTCTGCTCTTTCTGCAACTGCTACCTGTTCATTTATTAATCTCTTCTGTAGGAAACGCAGCCATGCATTTTCTCCAGGGCTTTATATGTTCTGT